TAAGTAATGTTCCACTGATAATTTAAATGAACAAATTTCTTCGTGAAACGTCGAGATATACCAGTGATTATTTCATAGTTGGAAGAATATTTAGTGTATTCTAGCAAATAACTCGTAACATATTTTCCAATTAATGTTATCGATAGTATCAAAGGGAGAGAGAAATAATTCTGATATGTTTTTAACCATATTGCGTGTAGTTGACTTGCATTTTTTCTACTATATGACCATTATTATTATACTTAATTGGTTTTTGCTTTTATGTGATACATTAAGTAAGTAGTTATCTCTACTCTACTCTTTTATTTTACAGACATTGAATGCCTTCATTCAGACTACGGTAGATCAGTGTTGGATAAAGCTTTACAGAAGTAAGCTAATAATAGCATAGTGTCACTAGGTTGAATAAGATATCATTTTCCTTCCAAAATCATCATTGTAAACTAGTTATATTCTTTATTGATTCAGTTTAACGGAAATTTTCCGAGCAGTCACTATATTATGATATTCTGACAAATATTCGCAGCTCATGGTATAAATGTTTTTCTCATCTTCTTTGAGGTAATTTTTTCATAACCCCTAAGTATTTTTTATGTACCGCTGATAAATTCAAGTACTTGAAATATCTTTCAATGGAGTATGATTTTTCATCGTCAAATAAAATCCAAAGAATTGCTTTTAAAAACGATTCTTCGCAAAAATACGGTTGTGTACCAAGCTATTGATGACAACTGTGATGAACAATAATAGATGATTAATGTCGACAAACAAGTGTTGTTCTTGAAGTTATAACTTAGTGGTGTTCAATTAAATGTTTTTAACAATGAGCTACAAATTTACTGCAAAAATATAACAGACTAATTTTTTTTCTATCTTAAGTAATTCGCTTTGGAAAGTTATAGGTTTTATAGAGATAAAACGTTTTAAATTGCTTGTCAATAGCCCGAAAAGCCATTGATAAAAAGTGTTTATTAGTTTAGTTCACTTGGTATTGTTTTACTTGAACCTTCCCATTAATGGTTAAGTAAGTAAGTCCCTATATCAACTTAACCATTTACGTGACCACTTATTGAACTTTATAAACGGTAAAAAGATTTGATTTGGATATTTTGTATAAACATCACACTTCAGTACTGGTTTCATACATCATTTTTCACTGAATTCAGAAATCAATCATTGTAACACACAGTATAACGTTTACTAGATGTTTATTTTAAACTATATGAATATTACTTCACTTCCCTTTTATTCATTGAATTAAAGATGAAGTTTTGTTTCCTTCTAGCCTACTGTCTAGTGACATAATTATCTTTTTTTCCTTTAAATTCTGTTAATGGCATTCACATATATCGTCAACTGTGGTAAACAAAATATATGCTACCAAAGGTCAATTGTAGTTTACCGCTATATATGGCGTTATTTGAAACAGAAGTACGATGAAGAACTCTTCAAGGTAGTCAGATCGACACAATGGATTAAATCTTAAAATTATTGAATACAAATTTCTGTGACCCGGCAAACTGTAGATTTCTTGATTGATCGAATTCAATAAAATGTTTTCCCTTTTTTCTGTTATTATTCACTTTTTCTCTACAATCACCGATAAGCTTGTGAAAATTTGAGAGGAGTTTTTCTCTGATTGATATCATTTGAAGAGCCAATAAGACTAGAGAGATATTGGGAATCCTTGTGTTCTAGATAAGCACCTTTCAGTATCTGTAGTTTTATCAGGATAGAACTCAGAACTGTCACTGATCCTTCAAATGACATTAGTCGGTAATGAATGGTATTTCTAAACTGAGCTAATTTCCACAAAATCCCTTATGTTGTAAAAAACTTCAAAAAGTTTGAAGTAATGCTTCCGTATATGCTGAACGAAAATTGGCACATGACATTACGTTTACAAGTTATCCTATTTCGTTTGACTGCAAACCTTCACACTAGAGTGAATGTTTTTGTCTCAGTGAAATTAAAATAAATTAATTATTCATTTATTAACATACATAAATGCTTATTTTTCATCGTGAATTCTGTAACACCTTCACTGGTTTAGTTTACATATTCACATATCTCGGGCGCCTTTGTAATGTGATCGCCAGTTTTTTTTTAAATTTTTTGTTGAAACCATAAGTGTGTAAAAACACATTTCTTATGTAATATGATCTACTAAAAATGTTTGTGACTAATTTTTGATGAAAAATTGAGGTTTGAATTATTCTGAGAAAAAAATTGGTAATTTGCTTCCACCTTATTTCAAACATACACTTTTAACCAATGTTGTACTAAAAACAAGATTAGATTGGGTACATTGATTCTTCTTATAAAATGAATTGACTAGATTAAATACTAAGGATTTTTATGTCATACCAATGACAAATTTAATAGTGTCTAAGGGTCTAGATTTACTGGTTACTCACTAATCTTCCTATTTCGGCTTTGACTAAATGGAATGATTCCTTCACTTGTTATCAATTAGGAGCTGAGAATTCACTGAGTTCATTCATTTCAAAGGCAGTCTTTTTTTGTACCATAGACTGACTGAAAACTGGGACCAGCTGCTTCCCCCTCTGCAGCAACGAATGTGTATGTGGGAAGAGCACACGTGAGCCCGAAACTGTTCAATGAATAATGATTTTCAATTGTTCTCCAGTTGAAGTTAGCCTGTGACAAAATCTTTTAAATTAAACGATCTAATCATTTAGGATCCATGTTTTTTACTTCTTGCAAACTTTTTTTCCAGAATTATAAAAAATAATAGAGTGTCAAGATTTAAAAATCACTTTATTGGGTGATTAAGAAATATTTATAAGCATTAGAATATATTAGTTTTAATGATTGTAATAACGTAGTTACTAAGATTAAAATTAACATTTATGATAAATTATTTTACTAGAATAGAGGAAATAGTGTGATGAATTGAAGTTTATATCCATTAACAATTGATAGTGAAATGGTTAATTACAGGTCAGTTTATTGTAGTAAACTGTTCGGAGAGAAACCAATAAACAGTAACCAAACGTAAAAGTGTACTTTCTCTAGTATTATGATCAGTAAGAGATAAGTATAACGAAACAGCAATCGATGCCTTTTATATGAAATTCGTTGATAACTATGAGATACATATAATAAAACTAATAACAGTTCATAAAGTTTCCCTTATGAGTAAATTTTTCATAAATTGATTACAACTATTCATAATATCAAGATCACTTGAGTAATGAGAAACAATAATTTTAATACAAATCACCTCGTTACCCATGTTTAAAGACTATGCTACTAATTATAGAGTGACTAACTAACTTAGTTAATAAACAAGAAAATGATATCGTTATAAAGTCTCTGTATTAAAACGCTTTCGTGGGTAAGAAAACTTTATTTAGTAATAATAAAATTAAGGCTTGTGAGTTTCAAAAGGAAACAGATATCATGACTGTACAATCCCTGGAATATAGAAGGGTCTTATAAATATCTGATTACTCATTAATTGAGAGAAATTTGACAACAAGTTTGTCAACCAGGACTCCTTAAGCCAGACTAAAATCTAAGAAAGTTTTCGCGGAGAAATTGATAATAATTGCCGATCTATGTGCTCAGTTAACGGTGATAATTCATTCGTTTCAAATATATGATGTTTGATCACCTGTTTTCATATTACTCCCATTCATGATTTCTCTAGCCTTGCTGAGGTTTAAAAAACCTAATAATGCTTTACAAAGTCCAGTATATGAAAATAAATGATTGTCAACAATCATTGGTGAGGTTTTAGGTCAACGAAGTAGTATATATATAAACCTTCTGAATGTATGATTGATTTTTCGACCTTATGGGATAACTACAGTCCCTGTCAGCATATAAAAGTGTTCTGTTAAACAACGAGAGTTCTATTATTAAATGGCTTATTGATATCAGCTTAAGATTCCTTGAAACCAAAGGTTAATAATTGGCCTATTCGTTTTGAATTGAAACTTTAAGCGTCCATAATCCAATATCTAAACAAATTCAGGTTCTCCACAAAATATGTGATACATTCAGGCAAATGAGCTCAGTAAGCTATGGGCAATGTACAACGTGGTAATATATTCATTGACCCAATTTGCATCTTTTACAACAGCACAGCGAAATCAAGTTATCAAGATGGATGTCACAGTAAAAGTTAAGGTGACAAGACTAGTGGTGGTAAAAAAGATTAGGCATGAAGAATATGTTTCCAAAAAAAAGAATAAACAGTATAAAATGCACCTTCACCATTGCAACTCAATCTAAATCACAGCTTGAACTTTCTCTGACCATTGATTCGGATAGTCGTAAGGCCCTCAACCAGATAGTCTGCGTCTACCTGGACGGGTCAATCCAAAGCCACTGTCTTCATGGACTGATGTCATGTCAGCCGACGGGTCATCGAGGTAGTCGATGGATGAACATGTATAACAGATGTTTAAACCACCTCGGTTGATGAACTTTCACGATCACTTCAACCAGCACTATTCTAATCCAATGTCACTATCGACTTATTGTCTCACCAAAAACTTGGTTGATTTATTGATTTTGGTTAGAAATATAGTCTTCAAAAAAAAATTATCTACACAACCACTTAATGTTTACCACAATTTTACAAAAAACATTTTTAAAAAAAAATCATAATTGTAATTAGAAATGATTAAAATACACATTAATAGATTAAGGACTATCTGAACTAAACTACTCAAGAGTATATGAAGTACACTTACATGTTGAAAGAGACACGATTAACAATAGGAAGAAAAAATCTATTTCAAATTTATTTTACACATTTATTGTAAATAATAATAATAACAGCAACAATAAACATACTGAACAGATTAGTTATACTTATTCCTCTTTATTTTACTGTCAACATAATCGTTATCGTAAACTATTTCTAGAGATATAACAACATTTAGGACTACAATGAAGTATACAAATATTGAACATAGTTGCACATTATTTATTTATCTATTATTACTCATAAATAAAGATGGATACAACATATTCCGAATATTAAAAACTGTTAGTACAATTTTCTTCATTCTGATGAAATTTATACAACTTTCTTGAATTACTATTTAGTACATGTTTAATGAATTAATGAAAATACATCGATTATCATTAGTTAGAATGAAAAGTAGATTCATAAATTGTAAAAGAAGAATCAGTTCATTGAAGTAGTAAATGTGAAAATTTCATAGAAATGATTTAAAATTCAAAAAATGCGAATTTTTCTTTTTCAGAAAATCACGCTAGTGGTGTTAAATTTTAATCATGGTAAAGTACACATTGCAATTTGTAAATACAATGAATGGACATTGTGTTATTCATTTGCTGATGATTTATCCCTGATATGAATGTGTACATTTAATGATCTAATGAAAACATGAAGATCAAGAAGAAAAAAAAGATGTTTACAGATTTTCACAAAAAATTTATTTTATTTCCTTAATTTGCCCATTTACGTGTATGTAATTGGTGTAGTTGAGATAAGGATATTGTACCATATGTTTGATTATAATTACTAAAAGATGGAGAGTATAATTTTGATGGTGTTATTAACGATGATGTAGACGGTGTGTTGACGATCTGTTGTTTGTTATTTGTATGACAATAATTTATTGGTTTCACTGAGTTCTAAAACACAAAAAATGGAAGAAAAATAAAAGTGGATAACTGTAAATTGTTTGATCTTTAATAAATATTATTTACGTAAATAATGAATCGCTTATATGTAGCATATTAATAGCGATTTTAATCTTTTTATCAAATGTCAGATGAATAAGACAAGTAATACATTTTGAGTGTCAGTTAACAAATGTATATTGTAATAATATCACGTCATCATACTTTTTCGCCAAACCACTCAATACCCAGATTATTGACAAATAAAAAGGGAATAACTGAAGTCTTGAACAAAAATTAATGAAGATTAACATCAGTATTACAACTTCGTTCTTCCCTCTACTTTTTTCCTCTTGAACTTTTAATTCTCACTATTTATCCATAGTTTTCTCCGGTTAGTTCAGATTGATCATTTTACCTAGTTATTACGCTTCAGAATGATAAAAATAATGTAACTGATCCACTTTTGTATGCGACTTTATGTCAGTACATTCAATTATTGAGTCAATTATTTAGTCGACTTATTTATTTATTTATCACTGTTTGTCAAAATGTTTGTTACCACTATACTCTGTATTGTGAAAGAGCTTTTTAAGTTAATCATACTAATATCTAGAATTACAAACTGTTTATAATAACTTCAATGCTTATGCTTACTATCTGATAACGATATTCACCAAGTTAAGAATGCAGAGGAATGACCTCTGATTATAGTAGTCACGTTCTGTGATGAAATTATTAAAATACAAGAATATGAATCATGAATTCTAAGCATAATGATTGAATTGAAATATGTTTCATATAGAAAAGCTAAAGGAGTCGAGTTTAATTTGCGCATGAAGTATAGGTATGCTGTAAAGTTACAAAATGAGAGAAGGCACTAATTCAGTCCTTCATGATCTTCAATAGTTGATAACAGGGTACATCAAATCATGAGTTAATCAAAGTGTGTACCGTGAAAATGAGACCATAAAAATAAACTACCAAAATTTGCTAATCAATGAAGAAAAAGATCAACCCAATTGTAAAATGAAACATCAATTAACAGAGAAGTAGGCAAACTTTGTCTACAATGAACTTTATTTTTTCATTATAATCAGTTATGTGATGTGTACAACGATTTTGTGTTTGCAAACACCAGTAACGCAACTATAACAAGGATAGAAATAATAATAATAGGAATAGTATTAGTAGCGATTCTGCTTCTATCTCTATTCGCATAGTAAAATTTAGTTGGAAACTTTCACCGAAATTGAAAACAGTTTAAAATTTAGAACAGTATTACATATCTCAAGTAAAAAAAAATAAACTTGCCCTATAATCAATTACTTTGACAGTGACAAAATGTTTTAGAGGTAACTGAGTAGCTTTAAAGCGGAATTTCCTGAAGTATAACGATTAAAATGTTCTTTTCTAACAATGCATCATTTTATGACTCATTATATAAGTAGAAACACACATTTGTAATCACTAAATAAATCGGTATTGTTTTGTGATAAATGATTACTGAGCTCGATGTCAATTTTCATCACGAACTGAGATCTCGTAGGAAACCATTTTAAAAAATCAAGAAACGCTAGGTAGTCGTCTTGGAGCTCCTACCTTGTATGTACCCAGTAACTTGCCAATAATGAAAATCAGAACCTTTATTTATAATGATGAGTGTGCTAACTTTAGATCATTTAGTTGAAATTAAACGATCCATATTTTTTTTAAGTAACGTTGATTCATTTAGCAATCTAAAATACTTCATCTATGAAACATGAGGTGTCTGAATGTATGTTAATCATTTTTACTGAATCTTCTCTTTAAATATGTGAAAAAACTTGTGGAAAGTATTTTTGACAGTGATTTCTTTTACAACATCTGTGTGCAATCAACCGAAAACACATACAACACACAGTTAATGTTTTGGTTTGATGATAATACAAATGGAATTCTCAGATAAACGACACAAGAAAGATAAATAAGAACAAGTAACTGTAAACAGAGCATGTTGACAATCTCGATAGTGCAATAAGGAGATAAATTTGACCGGAAATGTATGATTTATTAGTTAGATATATTTAAAATAATCAGATCAGCGCCATCGTGTGTGTTCGTAATCAGTTTGTACTCTTACGTACTATCGACCCTGGTAATACAGATTTTAATTTAATATCCAGAGGGATTTTATTAGTGTTCTTATTATCTTTATTGTTCCTAGTGTTGCCGTGTGTATAGAATAACTTTTTCATTGCTCACATAAATCTATTACGTGATCAAATTACTTGATTTACATTACTCCAACGTATCCCACTGTCTTAATAAATCTCGTATTCTCATTATACTGTGTCAGTTTATCAAATGGGCTAATTATTTTAAACGTTAATCAAAAACTGAGTGGCTTGTAGAAATTTAAAACATTAATTGTTACAAAATTTATAACTCTTCAGCTATGCATAATAAACAATTACGATTAATATCAGACTGGGGGTTTGTGGAGATTGTAATATTGTAATAGTTGAATTCATTAGTCGATTTAAGCTAGAGCAGCATCGAAAACCTGGAAGCACTAGACGTGGGTTTCGTCCCAGTACCGGACTCCTCAGCAGTGCGCACCCATGATCCCGCACTTGAGGCTCGAACCTAGGACCTCCGGTCTCGCGCGTGAACACTTAATCTCTAGACCACTGAGTCCGCATCTACGCCTTAAGCGAAGCAAGTTGGAAAAGCCAGCATAACTTTCCGAATCTTTACTGAGATTTCGTCAGATACCAACCAAGATTTGTGAAACTTTCAAAATGAGTGAAATGATAGACGTGCTCAACTACTTCGCTGTCTATCAATATTCCAGACGTTGACGCAGATTGGTTATGAAGCTACATTTTGCATTTAAGAGGAGAGAATCGTATCCCAAACATGCCTGCATTTTTGTTTAAGACGTTAAGAAGACTGCATTTTTCTTAGCATCTTCACCAGATAGAACCATATCATTTATCTATTCTGACTCAACAAGTATATCTTATGGCAGGGAATAAATTCCGGGGAATTCAGGCAAAGAAAACATTATTTCAAGGAGGATATGGGTGAAAAAATTAAATAAAAGTGGGGCTAATGTGTAACTCTGACGAAGGATAATTCGGGTTGACAGCTCTAATGACAGTTTACTGTAAGCTCTGGCTCCATGAATAGTGTTTGATGATTATTCACAAGGTTTATGAAGTACTTTGGTACTCCTTTCAACGACAAATATTGCCACGAAACCTCTCAGTTAGCGCGTTCAAATACTGTTTTAGGGCCAAAAAAATACAACTACAGTTATGCATCAGTAAGTATTCATGTACTCTAAAACCTGGCGAATAGTTGATCAGTACGTTCACGCCTGCTCCTGAAACCAACGTGACTTTCTCGGAGTTGTTTCTGAGAAGCTGGTAAACGTTAGATTATTATGGAGGCTAGTGTTTTAAATACTATTTTAATCAAACTGATTTCTCTGTGATTTATTACGAGAGGGTATTTTATTAGACGAGGTCAAATCAACAATAATGTTGGAATCTTGTATGCATATTTCGGAGACAGCATAAATTAATGGCGTCAAATTCTATCGCTTTAGCTAGTGGTGTCTATTATTCGATTTGGCTTTGGGTTTGAACATTGAAAGCTTCAACATATAGCTTGGAGCGTAGTTTCAGGAGACCTAGGATGGCATTTCGTGAACTCTAGTCGTTTGCACTGGTAAAATAGTGGGGGAACTCGAAGACAGAAGACGATGTTTGACGGTAGGAACAGAAGGACTATTTGTTAATGAAGATGGGATTTGATTGTGAACGAGATGATCTCACATGCCGTTATAGGTATAAGAGCGGTTTTTACTTTCTGGTTATCTACAGCATAAGATAATAATGGAGAAGATTTGTAGCTCAGGTGGATGATTTTGGTGGAGTTTTGTTCTCTGAGCTGGATGGTTTAGTCGTTCAGAAGAACGGTGAAAGCTCAACGACCAAACCATCCAGCTCAGAGAACAAAACTCCACCAAAATAAAATAATAGTTTTTATTGAGACGCGAGTAAAAGGAAATGTATTAGTAGTGGTCTTAGCCGCCTAAGAGTGTGACCCCAGATCCAAAGGAATACATGATCTTTTTTCCGAGTAGTTTTAGATAAGCTACTTCCACACTTTTAAAGCATTACTGATGAAGATGGAAACCTATGGAGTAAGGTGAGGTGTGCTGTTTTTAGAGCTGACCTTTTATAACCCATTCCTTTCACTGTAAGATGGTAGAACTGTTGAAGAGTCTGGTTGTCTGAGGGAAACACCTTACTACCACCACACCTCATAACACTTGGCTTTATAGCTGTAACCTCGGACCACGAGTTTGTTGTTTTTAATCTTACCGCTTTCTAGTCAACCTACTTGGGATGGTAGGACCGAATATTTCAGTCAATATAGCTCGACCGGGTCGTCACAAAAAGCAAACTCAACCACCATGATCTAGTAGTAGCTGAAATCGAGAGCATAAAGGATAAGGTATGTGTTAGAACAATTGTTTATTTTGAAATAATAAAGAAAAATTCATATTTTAAGCGTAAGATAATGACTGACATTGTTCACAACGAAAAGAAAAGCTTTAATATTAAATGTTCAACTCAGAGATCTCAACACTGCCAAAAGATTTAGGATTTTTGTTATCTTTAATCAGCTATCACAAAATTTTCAAATAATCTATGTTCAGAGTTTTATGATTACTGACAGTTGATTGACTGATTTAAGTTTATGATGAAAAACAATCTTGAATTTAATTTGATTTCTTAGAAAAATATTTTTTTTGGGATTATGTTCCACCTATACTTATCCAGAAATATATAAGAACAATTATTAATTGACATATGTTCCGTGTGTACACGTGTACAACCTGTGTGTAAATATGTAAGAAGATACAATTGACGCAAGTATTTCTTAATTTAGCAACTGGATTATAAATCCCGTTAGTGTATATTAAAAAATAATAATAAAACTAACTTAACAGTCAT